TGATGCAATTCTGCTGTTGGTTCGAGGTCACGACTATCTGGTCTTGTGTATATGATGCCGTTTGATTGCTGAAGTTCGCTATTGCTCATCTTCCTTGCACTTTTCACAAATTTCTTTGAAAATCTTTTCCGTTTGAAATTTTCCCTCTGAACTTCCCTTTTGCATTAACTAATTTGTTCTTTCTCGAAATTTTGAATTTAAAAATACTTTTGAACTCATTACTTCTTTTCGAAATTAAGTAATTCTTTTTCTTCGAAATTTCTTTTTCTTTTTCAAAATTTCTTGAATACTTCAGAATTAATTCATCTCCTCTTGGAATACCCTTAATTTCTTTCCAAATTCCTCGGAATCGTTTTGCAACTCATAATTAGCCCTTTTTCAAAATTTTGAATTCACATTTTGAACTTCGAAATTAAATACTTATTTTTACGAAATTGTCTCAAAATTCTTTTCTCTGCCGACATTTCTTTAAATTCACGTTCGGAATTAATCCTGCGAGGATCTGGGTCCCCGGCAGGCCTAAGGAACCCTTGCAGCAAATGTGCCCGGCCTAAGTAAAGGCGGGCCAAACAAATTACGAGAGGCCCTTGCTGTCAATTCTGTATTTGGGGTCCAGGCAGTTTCGTCGCGCCAGTTGGTTGAAGGAAAACACAGGCCGAGCAGCGTGGAAATTCCCAGGCCTTCTAGGCCTTTCTGACAGCACAGGCCCTGGGCGAGATTCGCAGCCTCATACACAGACAGTTGGGAGGCCCAACCGAATGAGGCCCAGTAGCTGCACCAGATGCTGGGGCCTACCGGAAGCTTCTGGGCCCAGGCCAGTCCAGCCAGGCTCTTTCCATATAGGAAAGAGCTCGCTTTCTGGCCGGACATTCGGGCACTTGCATGCTGGCGGCAATGCTGCTGGAGCTGAAGCTTGTGGGCTGCTGCTAGCGCTAAGCTGCGAGGTGCAGGCACATGCGGTCGTGGAGGGAGCAGGGCGCTGCTGAGGGCAGCTCCATAGCCCAGCCTCCATAGCTGGCAGGGCTTGGATGTAGAGTGAGGCGCAGGGGTGGTCTTCGGGTGTACAACAAAGGGAGACGTGGGAGAGAGTTAATTCTTCTTTACATTTTGAGTAGAGTTCGGAGAAGAAAGCCGATTTGGGGTTTTGTTGTAAGTTGAATTCTGCCAAGTTTATTGCGTCCTTCAGTGCTTCCTCTCTTTCCTTCCTCTTTGCTGCTAGTTTTCTTGATGTTTGGGCAACCTTTGAATTTATTTCCTTGAGTAGCTTTAGGAATTTGGTGTAGATATCTTCGTTGGGGTGCTGGTTGATTGTATTTGCAAGGATCGTGGTGAGTTCACTCTGGAAGGCTTGGGAGGAGAGCAAGGAATTGTTGAAACGGTAATTTTTTTTGTCTGTGTAGCCCGATGTCATTAGTCTGAGGGCTAGTGTGATTGGTTTATGATCAAGGCCGCTATGGTATGGTGAGCTTCCTATGTTGCAATCGTGTAGGGCCCCTATCAATGAATCAGAGGTAAGGAAGAAGTCTATTCTCGAGAATGATGTTGTGTCGTGCGTGGTTCTTTGTATGCATGACAATCTTTTGTTATTTGACCGTAGGACCGCGATCAGCCCGGATATCCCTCTACGCCCGGCAGAAGACTTCGCAGATCCATTCCCACCCCATCATCAAGCAATAGAAGAATGGGTGGGATAGTCCATTTTTTATTCTTTCTCTTCAGACTGAAATCAGAACACTATGCAATCCAACTTTCGGCTCTTGTCCGAACAGGTCAGTCATCTTTGAAAGGCAGGAGCCGGGGAACGGCGGGAGTACCCACTGGTGCCCCCTGGTGATTCTCCCCTCGGCCCCCGGCGGTGCGGCAGGAAGAGGCAGGACGATAATGATTTGGTACGAGACGCTAGACCTGGTTTCCAGCTCTGAGGCATCACTAGCAACATGGACAGCGGAGGGAGTTAGCAGAGACAGTGGACATCTTGGGCCAAAAGTAGGGTGAAGAGGCTCCCCCCCTGCTCAGTCAATTCCCTGCTCTCCAGGGCAATCAATGCTGGCAGGTCCTGCTTGCGGACTTTCTAAGACATTCTGGATCATTGTATCATAATCACAAGGGACGCTGGACCCGTTTTCCAGCAGGTGATGCTCCCCACCAATAGATGGAGCCTATCCCCTGGTACTAGCAGTGTCTGCTCTTACCAGCACTGCTAGCACTGGAGGGACAGTTTAAG